GATGCCGCAGGTAGGAAGGAAGGTGATCCTCATCCCTCCACCATCAATGAGAGTGGGTGGTTAGGTTGGATTGATGGGAGAGCGGCGGTCTGCGCGCATCCCTTGCCTGCGCAATTATTATAATTAACAAATATTCAATTAGCAGTGCATTCCGCATTCTCGCATAACTGGCGGAAAATTGATTTTTGATGTTCGCTGCCCCCGAAGGGCGCAACCACTCTCCATATTTCCAACTGAACATCAGCTGCAAAACACGTACACACTCAAAGGGAACAATCAATTAGTCGGGGGGCGGTTTTGCGATCGTCCATTGTTCAGATAACGTAATTAAAACATATAATATTCGAGTGGGCAAAAAAAAATAATGCTGGAGAAATTTTCATCATCATCACAAGATTATGTAACCGGATTATGGCGGTTCACGAAATATGCGATAGCAAAATTGAAAACCGTGACGTTTCATTAACGTCATCTTGACGTTTCTTGACATTTTCTTGTCAATTGTCAGAATTACGTTAGATCTACGTCATAATGACATCAACGCTACAATGTCACTTTGACATCAACGTCATAATGACGTTAAATGACACGATTAATCGCGACATTCGTATTTTACTTTCATTTAGTTAGCGCAACCGAACGTACGCGTACGAAGAACAATCGAATGAATTTGGAAATATTAGTAACTTTTCAAATGTTCACGAAATATGCGATAGCAAAATTGAAAACAGTGATGTTTGACATTTTCTTGTCAAGTGTCTCAATTACGTTAGATCTACGTCACAATGACATCAACGCCTCAATGTCACTTTAACATCAACGTCATAATGACGTTAAATGACACGATTGAATTCAGGATGCGGTTAAACGCGACATTCGTATTTTACTTTCATTTAGTTAGCGCAAAAGAACCTACGCGTACGAAGAACAATCGGATGAATTTGGAAATATTAGTAACTTTTTCAAATGTTCACGAAATATGCGATAGCAGATTCTTTCTAATTTGAACAGTGAAAAGTTGCAACAAGGAACGATTCAGCGAAAGATATGGACAATCTGCTTATAAGGAAAAGAAAGAGAGTATGTTATCTTCGTTTTTCTGAAAACTACAGAAAACGACCAAAGTTCTTGATATACTTGATTTTCCAATGTTAATCGAAAATATTATCAAAGATGTAGTTGTTGACGGAATTAATATTGTTGATGATGGTGATACAATTATTGAAAATTCAGATCACTCGTGTTATACAACAGTACATGTATAAATACAAATATTATTGTTTCTTGGGATTGGTGAGATGAAACACAAGTAAACGTGGAAAATCTTTGAGGATGAAATGTATTAACAACATTGGAAAGGTAGTTATTTTATAGTTTGAAAAGTTTAACTTATTTGCTAACAATATATTATTGTTTTTTAGATTGGTGAGATGAATCACAAGTAAACGTGGAGCATCTTTGAGGATGGAGTGAAGGAGTTCGATCAAAATGATTGCAGCAGTGCGGCAAGCTCAATCACCATAGAGGTAGCCCCCCTAATTAAATTTAAACATTAGAAGAATCTCGGTTTTATGTCACAATGACATTAGTACTATGTTACAATGACATCAACGTCATAATGTCACTTTGACATCAACGTCATAAAGAATCTCGGTTTTAATCACAATGACGTTAGTTCTATGTTACAATGACATCAACGTCATAATGTCACTTTGACATCAACGTCATAAAGAATCTCGGTTTTATATCACAATGACATGTTAGTACTATGTTACAATGACATCAACGTCATAATGTCACTTTGACATCAACGTCATAAAGAATCTCGGTTTTATATCACAATGACGTTAGTTCTATGTTACAATGACATCAACGTCATAATGTCACTTTGACATCAACGTCATAAAGAATCTCGGTTTTATATCACAATGATATTAGTACTATGTTACAATGACATCAACGTCACAATGTCACTTTGACTTGAACGTCATAATGACGTTAAATGACATAATTGAAATTAGAAATTGAAAGAATCTCGGTTTTTTATTACGAGATGATGATGTTGACTAATCAGTCTTCGGAAATTTGCCCGCAACAACACTTTTTCCGCCTGGTTTCAAATTTCGAACAACAAAATTGTTTCCGAAAACCACAAGCACCGCAAATTTTCTTTACGAACTTTGGTGAAATATTCAGGACTCTGAAATAGCAATTTCAGTTTTTTTTTTGTAGTTGTTTGTTTTTGAGGTGGAAGTTTATGAAGTTCGTGGGAGCGGAAAAAACGAGACGTGAAATTAATCGAATCGCATTAAAAGTTTCCTGATGATGATGATCATCATCATCAGCATCGTTTGTGCCTACTTTTGTTGCTCGCACACGCCTAACGTAACACATCGCTCCCCGGGTGGAGGAAACATTCCTTTTCCTGCACGGCATGAATTTTACATGGAAGACGCGAACAGAAAGTGTCGACAAATGAAGACGAATTACGATGATTTGATGGAAAAAAATTGCGTGCGGCGGAGGTGCGCATCAATTCGTTTTTATTTCGTTCCGGCCCGGACGCGACGCAACATTCATTCAAATTCCACCCAACACCGATATTTTTATTTATATAAGAACTTGTATCATGATGCATCACTTCTTTGAGAATTTCTTTTAGTTTCCAATAAATCTAAAGGTGCGTACTCACTATACCTGATAATTTCAATTGTTTAACAACAGATACTTATCATACCAACTTAAAGTAATAAAATTAATAAACAAGTGTACCAACTTATATTGCAAATCGGTTTTAGTGTGTACTCACCTTTCAGACTAATAACCCTGGAATCCTGGCAGCAAAATAAACATTTCTATTTGATTGAAACGAACATTCAAATATTATATTCGATATGAAATGAATACGAATTTCGAACGTAATCGATTTGCACAGCGAATCGACCCTTTATTTTTTTGCTCGTCGTGCTCTCTCTCTCTTCTCCTTCGATTCGGATAGATTTAATTGATTTTAATTAGCTCATCCGGCGGTCGGCTGTTTGCCATGCAAACATAAACATTTTCACTCCGGTTCATCGCTATTTGCATACGCAAATTCACCGCATTTGCACACTCTCCTGCAATATTCTAATTGCAAACTAAAACGAGAAACGCCTGTAATGTATTTTGATTACGAATTAAGGGAAACGAATGTAACATACGACATACTTTCTTTCAACTTTCACAGTCAATTACACAATTGCCACGTAATGTTATGTTTAATTTGCATGTTCAATAGTTTTGATGTTCCTTCTTTGAGTGAAACAAAGATCCAATTAGATTCAGTTTATTCTATACAGTTTTAGCTTTAATTAGCTTATTCAGTTGTATTTGTAGTTTTTTTTTGTAAGCAAGAAACCAATGAAAATATACTACTTTCTCGAGACAGACAATTTTATTAGATCAACTTTGATAATGAATTACGGAAAGACTGTGAGTAGTACAAAGATCGAATTAGGCTCATTTCAATCTTTATAGTTTTAGCTTTAATTAGCATATTCAAACATAGTTATGATATACAGTGGAACCTCGCATAACAAACATTTCGCTTAACGAGCAAAATGAATTGTGGTCATTCTAGTTGGATCTTAGGGTTGTTTATGATCACAAAATATTCAAACTTGTGTTCAGACATGTTATTTGTGCTTTTTTGTGCAAAATTTAATAACACTTGCATGTCTCCAAATAAAAAGCCAAATAATTAGATATGAGAAGCAAAATCATTAAAAATCGAGACCAAATTATACTTTTTTTTTTTCGGAATTATCGTAATTTACATTAGTTTATATGGGAAAACGTGCTTCAATATACGAGTAAAAATCCGGAAATTTTGAAACGTTAAACTCGTTAAGCTAGTTTTCAAGAAACTAGTCCAAATATGAAGAATAGAATATTTGTTTATGAAAATGTATCCGAAATTAATGTGGTTGAATGGAAACTTAAGTGCTGTGTAAGTAAACGGTGGATTAGATCAAGCAATCTGCGGGCGTGCAAACAAAAGCTAATCAGAACCGAAGTGTGCCTTGTTAATTTGCGTGATCTGTGTTGCATAACTGCGGCTCGATTGAGCGGACCGTGGCAGCAGACGGTTAATTAAGCGAAAGCGTTAATTAATTAGAAATACGGTGAGCGCATCCACAGCGACAGGTGCTAAATTGGATTCGGATTAAGGACGTCGTCGCCGGGAAGCGACAATGCGACCGACCAGTGTTCCTGTTACACGCTTTCAGTGCTAATTTGCGCCAATTAGATGACGCCTTTGTGCTTGTCCGATTTGCGCAAACGTTCAAATGTGTGGAACTTCAAAGGATCCGCAGTTTGCAGTTTGCGAATCGAAAAGGAAAACCGTATTTTCGCGTACCGCAGAACGGCCATGAATAACGTAAACTACCGCTCATTATTCAAACTGTTAAATCGCGCGGACCGGAACCGGAAGGATCTTCGTGCAATCAACGAGCGTTTTCAAATTAAATTTTCATGGCGCACTCCGACTTTGTTCAGACCTGTTGATATTACATCGAGGTTTCTGAAACTTTCATTTATGATCGCTGCAATCTCTTGAATTGACAATAAATTTAAATTTTTGCTGTGAACAATAATCAAATAAGATTCATACTTTTTGAGCTGTTCAAATAATATAATACTTATAGAATTATACTTTTTGACGGAGTTTATCGTAGGCAACCAAATATACACTAAACATTTCAAGTTCAAATAAATATTGTTAGTTACCTAAGTAAAACAACAAAACAATTGCTAGCGAAATTGCGCTTAGGCGTAAGCTAAGTAAAGTTGTAAGACGTGGAAGAAAGGACAAGTAAAATAAATAAATTTAGATTACTTTTAACGATTCTAACTCTAATTTTCATGTAGTATACTTTGTGTAGTTTCATTAATTATTAAGAAAACTTGTGAAATTGAACTATAACATAACTTTATGGATGTATTAGTAAGCGGATAAGAAATGTTTTCTTTTTTTTTGATGGAAACAGGTGTTATGTTTATTTGAAATTATTTTCTCTTATATTAAACTAATCATATTATAAAAGTGAAACTGTGGAAACCGTTATCAAACAGAGGTGAGGAGGGTGAGCTTCTCGTTGAGCTGCAGCTGAGTCTTGAGCAGTTGCGAGAGCGAGATGACCATGAGCAGATCCTTGATGTTGCTGTTGAACATCTCGGAGAATTGCTCGTTGTTCATGTGCGGCACGGAGTTGACCAGATCGAGGAGAGACCTACCGACTGCGTTGTCCGGAGTCACCCTGTTCGCCAAGACATCCTCAACGTAAGCGAGCACCTGATCCAAAAGAACACCCATCTTGCCGCCGGCTTCCTCCACCTGCGAGAAGTCCAGCATCGGATTCACCGTCCTGGGTCTGCTGCTGCTGATGGTCTTTTGGCAGAGTTGAAGACCGAAGACCTCAGGATCGTAGCACGAGACCTCCACGTTGATCGGGGTGAACATGCAACCTTGCTTGCCGTTCGGGACTCCGAAGTTTACGCTCACGTACGCTTTCAAGCCCATCCTGGCGCCCTGCAAACTGGTGTCGAGCGTGACGTGCACCGGGCTGTTGCATTCTCTGGAGTAGTACTCGTGGATCACGGAACTGTGGTTGGTCACTTCATTGCCTGTCGCCCACCATCCCACGATGTTCTCTGAAGAGTTCACGCGACGGTTCAGATCGTACACATCGCTGGCGTAGCTCAGCTCAGCTTCCACCTGGTCATTGTGCTCCTTGTGTGGTACACAGAAGCAATTTGTTACCTCAATAACACCTTTGTCTTGGCTACCTAAAACAATACAAACAAATTATTAAAGTTACATATTTTCAACAGAAATTTTGCTTAAAACTGGCCATAATTATTAGAAAAAATCTTAATTTTACATTAATTGATTGTAATTATTTGATATACAGTTTAAAATTGAAGTATTTAGTAATTTTCGCCAAACAATAACAAATTTTACAAATAATGTAAACAAAACTAAATTTAAATTAGGGTGCCTGAACAAATGAACGCGAACAATTGGTGATTGAGTGATGAAGTGTCAAAAGTTTGAGGTTATGAACGGAACTTGAAGCACGTTTTTCACGGGGAAATCTAGGGAAAATCGGGAAACGCGATTGCAAATTGATGAACTCACCTAACAGAGTTCCAATTACACGGTGCGTATCGGCGTTGCGACGCTCGAAAGCGTCCACGATTTGGAAAAGTACCACAGGATGAACCTTGACGACCAGGTTAAGCGCCATGTTTACAACTGAAAGGTGCGCCGTTGCGACGTTTCCCAGGAAAGCTTCGAGTGCAGAGTTGCAACGATGTGAAAAACAGTTACGATAATACTGTAATTTTATTTTGAAAATAATATTTGTTTACAGATGCGTTGATGATTTGTGCATTTAAACAAATCTATAGTTGCTCTGAAACATATTAAAGTATGTCGTTTATGTTTATTGTAAATAATGGACAATATTTATTTAGTTGTCAATATTGACAATAAAAATCATTTAGTGGCAGAAATAAGGTTGTAATCATTATATAAAACTTATATAATTAACAAAGAATGTATAGCAAATTTGTAAATTGAATAATAAATAATTATTATTTAATATATACTTGTGTTAGAAAGAATCAGATTATAGATAGTGATTATAACTAAAGATTGATTGTTTTTTGAAGAATCGGAATTGTTTGAAGATTAAATTAAATGTTTTGCAGGGAATTATTCAGAGATGCGGCAACATGGTGATGGGGAGTACGCCGAATCGATGCAGGTCGGCCAACGGAAGCGAAGAAAATCCCTATTGGAAATTTGAAATCGGCCATTATCTCGTCGATTTTCTATGCGGAAATAAATGCGAAAAACGAAGGGACGACCGGAAAAGCAATGCGGAAATGGAAAAGCGATGGGGAATAGGTGCGGCGAGGGCCCCGTGCTCCACCGGATCGGCGCCCGTTCGGGGCCGACCAGCCATATTGTCCCGAGTATTGATGGCTCCGAATAAAATGGTTTTCGCGGCCCACCACCACCACAGCCGCCTCTCTGTATGCGTTCATCTGTTCCATCCGCAATGCAGGCGTGCCTCCCCAATAATTCCAGTGCGTAGCTACTTTTCAGGACCGGAGCCCGAATTCAGGTCTGTCGCATTCCACATTCTTCCCGTCTCCCAATACTACCTCATCATCATAATCATCAACAATAACAATAACAACACGAAGACGAAAGATTGCATACAGAAACGCCACCCTCCGTTTTCCCCCCCTTCTGGTTTGACCGATAAACAACAGACGATCTCAGCGATTGATGACCAACTGTTTTGATCATGATGATGACTCTTTACCTCTGATATAATCATAACAAAACGCGGGGCCCTCTCCCACCCCCCTTCCGCATCATCGCTCACTATACACACACACACACGTATACAGCAATAACACATGCAAATATCTACAAAACATACACACACACACATACACCACAAAAAAAAAACAGTGGCATATCAATAATAAGAAAATCGTCAGAGTGTACACATTTATATTAGAAAGTGAAGCACCCCTCGCGATTATTAAGGTCGTGAGGATGTGGGCCAGCAACCCCTTCACCATTGGATCAGTGGTGACCTTCCTCGGTCGTCAACCCCCCAAAAGACACGACGTTTGCAGCATCCCGAAGAAGCACTTGAACATTCTTCATCATTCCAGGTAACAACATGATGATGGACAGTGACAGCTCCTCATCGGAGGAGCACTCTAGCTCAGAGTGTTCCACCGATTCCTCAGATGATGATCAGATGGAGGAGGTTCTGGTGGGCAACGCGAGGCTGGAGCTGCCGCAGGGTATGTGCGAGAAGAGAGAAATATTTGATGAATTCTTCTCGTCGAACACCTGGAACCTGCTTTCGGAGAGCAACAAGCAACACCTCAAACAGTTCCTACCAAAGTTTCCTGACAACGATGACCAGGAAAAGAACACGACACTGGCAATGCTGTTCGCTGGTGAGCAATTCAAATTCACCAGTCCTCTGGATGACTTCTACGATCACCTCAAGGCAGGCCATTACAGACCGGACATAGCAAAATTGAGGTACAGTGAAAACGCGTTGCACATTACTTAATGTGTGTGTGTGTTTTGATTTCGTTTGTTGTAGGTATTTTATTAGGAAAGCCGAGCGCAAGGAGAGCCTCTGGAGGCACCGCAAACTGAAGGAGAAACTCAGCGCTGAATTGGTGGAATCTCGTAAGAATCTGTTGGCGACGGTGAACGGTCTTCCACCAGGCGTGGAACCGAAGCAACCGAAGTCGTCGCAAATCAATCTCAATCCGATCTCGCATCGGACGAAACGACGGTATTTCCAAATCCTATCGAATATTAGGGCGAAAGTGGACGAGAGCGGTTTCTCGTCCGACGAGAACTACCCGGAAGGTCCACCGTTGGCGGTGAGCAGAAAGCAGAAGCGCCATCTAAATACCATCAAGGGATCGAACGTATTGAACGGAGAGAAAATCATCACGGCGACGACGGCGATGAAATCGAACGGTCTCGATCTGGAGCGATACATTGCACCGAACGACAATCCGTTCATCGTCAGCGAACAGTCTTATAAGCAGTTGCTTCTGGAGCACAAGAGGCGACGGCTGAACAACTGCGAGGATCAGGATTTGGAGACGAAGGGCAAGAGCATCACGGATATCATCCACAGGACGAGGTTGAATTACAATAAGAAGTTGAATAAATTGCCGGAGCCGAAGGTGAAGGTGAAGAAGGCGAAGAAGGAACATGTGCAGCAACAGACGCAACCGGTGTCGGAGATGAACTACTCTTCGGATTCTGACTCCGATTCGGTGGTGGTTGATCTTCCTACTGCGACGGCGTCGACGACGACGATGACGACAATTGCGGCGTCAGTCGCACCAATTGCTGTCGCTCCGCCCGCGCTCTCTGCATCTCCGTTGAAAGCGTCCAAACCCCCCAAGAAGGTGACCAAACCGCCGCCCTCGCCTAAACCGGTGCCTCAAATCAAGGAGGAAGAAATCAAAGTGGAACCACCTCAACCTCCGCCACCGCCTCCACTTCCTACTCCCGTTGTCGTCGTTAAGCAGCAACAGCAGCAGATTTACCAACAACCGCAACCGCCTGCGCCGCCTCCTACACCACCTCCTCAGCTTCAACCACAGTACAATAAACCGCCAACGCCTCCACCGCCACCACCACCGAACGTCTTCACTCCGGACCTCGATGAAATCGACATGATCAACTTACCGATCGATCTGAACGATTCGAATATAGACCTTTTGGACTTGAATCACCACAGTAAGGCTGAACTAATGCAGGATACGCACGCGAACTTCTTAGCTTTAATCAGGGACATCATTTGCTCAACGGCGGAACATCGGATGGCCATGTCCACGTTGGAGGAGAGACTCAAGGCGTGGCAGGAGAATCCGATCACGGCGCTCAACGACTGGTATTGCCTTGCCGATAATTGGACGTCGCAGCTGCAATCTGCCATCAACTTCTTGAGCGGAAATTGCCCGGAGCAGCCGGACGACTTTGTGCCCTACATCGAATACAAACCGTCGCTGAACGTTTACCAATGGATCGGAGCCGGCAGAGACTCTGACAATCTGCTATCGCCGCTGTGTCTGTATTGGCTGGAGCATCGAAACGAGATGAAGCCGGTGATTACGATTAAGGAGAAGGAAGAGGTCGATCTGGAGATCATGGACAGATCAAACGACCTGGTGCCGCCACCGCCGAGATGCCCGACCACGTGGACGGTGAGAAGGGCGGACCCTGAGGAGATTAAAGCATATCGTGAACAGGAGAGGAAACGTTACGATAATCCCCATAGGGCTTTCACCTATCGCTGCAACGGCTACGAGAGCGTAGTTGGACCTCTGAAAGGTATCTACAATCCATCCGTGGGCAACACCAAGGCCCGAGGTCACAACATGCTTAGTGCAGATCGTCCGAACTTTGTCACCATTCTATCACTTGTCAGAGACGCAACAGCGAGATTACCCAACGGAGAAGGTACTCGAGCAGAGATATGCGAACTTCTAAAGTGCTCGCAATACATCTCGAGTACGGCCCCTGACAATGTTCTGCAATCTGTGGTAAGCGGCGCTCTCGATAGGATGCACACGCAGTTCGATCCCTGCGTTAAATACGATCAAAAACGAAAGATTTGGATCTACTTGCATAGGAATCGGACGGAGGAGGATTTCGAGCGTCTGCACCAGCAATACCAGGGTATGAATAGGAATATGAAGAAACCCACGAAGCAAAAAACACCGACGAAGCCGAAAACGCCGAAACCAGAAAAAGTCAAGAATAACGTGAAGACTACAACCGAAAGTGTCGTTGCGGAGAAAGCGGAGCCAACACAACCAAAGCAGCAGACATCGCTATTGATAAACCAAAACAAAGAGCAAGTAGTGACCGTTATTGAAGCCGAGCCCAAGAAACCGATAAGGTCGAGGAATCTGTCGCAGGAGGACAAAGAAATCCACGATGCCATCCAGTCTTTGCAACAGCATCCGCCCAAACCCCAGAAACCGCAGAATAGCAGCACACAAAAGAGTGTGGTGAAGATCATCAATCAGAACCAGAAGAGCCTGATAATACCTAATCATCCGGTGGTGGTCAAGCAAGAGGTGAAACCGCAAACGACGACGATGGTGACGCAGCAGATAATCAACCCTAAGCAGGTGAATCAGCTTATCCGTGTTGAAATTCCCGACGGCAAGGAGTTGAAGGCCAAGTCGAACATATCGATAAAACAGCAGATCTTGCAGAGCATATCGCCGCAGCAGCTGCAGAACATCAAGAACGTGACGCTGTTGAGGAACGTGCGGCACGCGAACGCCCAGCAGAGCGCTCAACCCCAGACCCAAACGATAGTCCTGACGCAGACCGAGGAGCCAACGGTGAATTCAACGCCGGAGATCAAAACGGAAACGGTGGAGACGACGACGACGGCTGTACCCACGCAGAACATCAGGATGCACACGTCGTTGACGCTGTCGCAGCAGCAGCAGCTTCTTCAGACGATCCGTCAGAAAGGATTGACGGCCCAGCAGCAGGTGCTGATCAGGCACAAGGCTCCCATCCAGAAGCAGACAATTGGCGGCACTTCGCTGTTGGGCCAGGCCAGAGTAGTTACAGGTTCGTTTCTCCCATCGATCATTGAAATCAAATAATAACGTAAATGTTATTTTCAGATGGAAATGTGGCCAAGACGATTGGACAAGGACCTTTGGTGGCGAAGGTGTTGACGAACGCCGCAGGACAGGTGATTTCCGTTGAGAGTTTGCTGGCGCACCAGAAGCAGCACGGATCTCTGCCACAAGGTGCGTTCTTGAAGAATGTTCACATTGATTGTGATAATAATATTATTGTTGTTGTTGTTGTTGTTATAGGTACGTTGAGGGTGGCTGGAGTGAAAGGACAGGCGAACATAATACAGCTGGCGGCGCCGAACAAGAATCAAGTGGCGCAGGTCGTCGCCTCCCACAATAACTTCATTCAAATTTCGAACCAACCAAAGTTAGTTCTGTCGTCGGCGGGAACGACGTCCGCAACGACGACGGCGATGTCTTCCACGAAAATAACGGGCGCTAAAACGCAAACGATCACCAAGTTCCCGCCAAAGATGCAGCAGATCATCAACGCCAAGTTCATCACTCAGAGCATCGACAGCGGACAGAAGATAGTGCAACCGAAGGTCATCATCGGTCAGAGTCAGATCAAGCTGGCGAACAGTAAGGGAGGTCTGCAGACGGGTGCAGTCGGCACCAGCATCGTGACTGGAAGCAAACCGAACAACATCCGAATGGCCAATCTGAACATCGCCCATCTGGGTGGGAAGCCGGTGCTGTTGGCCAGCAAGGGCAGCACCATCCAGGGGCAGAACGTGATACTGCAGACGCAGGCGAACACGAACAGTTCGGGACTGATGGCGCTCACGACGACGACGATGCCCAAGAAGAATCAGATAATCAATCAGCAGGGGCAGCAGGTGGTGCTGGCGCCTCAGATTAAGATGCAACCGCAGGTGCTGCTGAGTTCGAGCATCAAGAATTCTCAGGTCGGAACCGTCTCCTCCGGGCAGATCCTCGTTGGAGGACATCCGGTTCGACTGCAGACGAGTACGGCGAACGCGCAGAGGGTCGTCCTGGCGAGCCAAGGCCAGGGAGGCCAGATCGTCGCGCAACAGATTCTCCTACCTGCCGGATTCCAGGGCGCTGCCATCAACATCAAATCGCTGCAGGGCGTCAAGGTCATACCGATTGCACAGGGCAGCAAAGGTCAGTTAACATTTAGCTTTATTACAAATTGGGGATTTCCTACTTATTTAGTTGTTGCTTTACATATTGTCGTGTCCCAGGGATGGAATTCTGGACACAGTGGAATATTGTCTGGTGTTGTCGTTGTGGAGTCTCAATAGTTGGGAATTTAATGAAATTCGTTTGGTTTTACATAACTTTATTCGTTACTTGGTCGATTTAAGATTATCTAACTCTAAGCACTATTAGCTCGTCTTAGGTTTTTATGAGACTATGCTCCTCATATTAACGTTTTACTGAGACTATATCAGTCTTTGAAGGTTTTACTGAGACTATGCTGTCTAGGTTTTGACTATAGCAAGTTTTACTGAGACTATGTCAGTCTTTGAAGGTTTTACTGAGACTACGTCAGTCTTTGAGGGTTTTACTGAGACTATGTCAGTCTTTGAGGGTTTTACTGAGACTATGTCAGTCTTTGAGGGTTTTACTGAGACTATGTCAGTCTTTGAGGGTTTTACTGAGACTATGTCAGTCTTTGAAGGTTTTACTGAGACTATGTCAGTCTTTAGAAGGTTTTACTGAGACTAATTCTAAATAGTTATTCTACTTACAAAGTTAATTCTTATTAATACGGGGTGGGAGTTGTGATTTAGAGTAGGCTTTGTGTATATTGATGATTAAGCGTTCCCACAGGAATCGGCCTCGGTCGTTTTGTTTATTATAAGACCGGGACAAATTCCTATGCATTTGTTTATATGAAAAAGATGATCGATTACGATTGTACATGTAACGATCTTTATGTGTTTATAATAAGGACTTGAATTCTGTATAAAGGTATAGGAGTATTGATGGGAATGTTTACGCTTTGTCCCCTTTGTTTATATTAAAGTGTATCGAACTGGAATCACGATAGAGATTCCTTTATGCTAATGTTTATATAATAAGAGACGCCGTAGATGTCTCTAGTTCGTTAATAACTATACTAATAATAACAATTACAATAATAATGTTTGGACACAACAATATAAATACAAATCTCATGAAATTGTTTTCCTTTTTTTTTTAGGTGGAATTCAAGCGAGGCAAGTGTACGTGAACACGTCATCAGCGGCGGCGATGGCGGCATCAAATATTGTGCGGGCTGTGAACAGTGGAGTCGCTCAGACGTCTCAGGAAGTGGCTGCAGCGACGGCGACGACGACGACGACATCCACAACGGAACAATGATAACGGTTACTAACATACACACGCATCTATAAGCATATCTATCAACGTGTGTGTGTGTGTGTATGTGCGTGCGTGTTTATTGTATTATGTACGAACTGTGTTTGGATGATGAAGAGGAGGAGAGTACAGGCAGAAAGAAACAAACGGACGATGTGACGAGGAGCCACGTGTACATAGTTAATTTAGGCCGGACATTCGTTTATAATTTTTTCTTCTTCGATTCTTTTAGTCTAAACTAATGTTTAAAGAGTAATAATAACAACGTGCGGACGCGACACGTATAAATAGGAAGAGAAAAAGAGCGCGAAAGCAAAGAGAGAGAGACATTTGTAAATAGATTTTTTAGCCAATTCGAGAAGGAGAAAGTGGACAAGAGAAAAATGACTTTGTTTGTATTTAAATTTACGTTTAATTTCTCGAGTTTGTAAATAGTACTGATATTGGTTTTTAAACGAGAAGAGGAAAGGAAGAAATTCTTTTGTTGTGTGGAATTTACGAAGTGGAAACAAATTCGTGCGTCGCGTGCAAAACACAACATCCACACACAAAAAAAACAAAAGAAAAGAAACACAACACATACGACACAACACATTGATTCTTCTACTAGTGAAATTGTTTTTATTTAATGAAGTAATAATTAACACAATACTGATGATTACGTCGAAGAGTCGACGAGGGAAAAAAGCGCTATATTTTCATAGCTTAATTTATTATTATTAACAAGAAGAAAAAAAAAATCAACAACAAGAAAAAAAAACTTATTTTTTTTAATATAAAACAAGAAATGAGACGAGATGATGATTGAAACAAAAACAAAAAAAAAATAAACCAACAGCAACCTTTTTATATATATATGAAATATAAAAAAAAGATTGAAAGTAGTTTTATTGTAGTTTGTTGTAAGCGGAAGAAGGTATTGTTTTGTTTGGTTTCTATGGAGATTGGGCGCTTCTCAGTTCGTCAGGAAGTCTTCGTACGGCATGATTCTCTGGTGGTTGTGGCACCAGAACACCCAGTCGGGATACACTTGAGGGATCTTCTCCTCGCGAGACGACCTCCTTCGTTGCCGTCTCTTGGAGTTGTTTGTTATTATGTAATTCGCGCGGTCCTCGTCTGTTGTCACCTCGCTGAAACGGTAATAATAATAATTAATAGGCAGCATAATTGTTTGGATGTTACGTGGGTTGCGGCTTTCGCATAAACCCGGAAATGAGATTAGATTCAATCAACTCACCCGTCGTACGCGGTAATATATTGGTTCAATTGTCTCGTGAGATCGTCCTCGATGAAATCTTCGTCCACGTAAAACGCGAGGCCGTCGTAGTAATCGCTGAGATCGGTGTGCGTCAAATCGGTGAATTGCTCATCCTCTCGGTCTTCGGCAACAACTGAAGTCCGGCACGTTTCAACTGCATCATCTTTGGCTGAAGGAGTATCGTCTCGTACAGGAGGAGCCGCAACTGCGGAAGCTTCCACGTCCATGACCTGTGACTCGGCCTTTCGTCGCTTGATCCTCTCGATTTCCTCATCGGTGTCGCCTCCTGTGTCATCCCCCTCGTCCTCGCTATACAATACACGCACATCAACATCTCCGAACTCATCGCTCTTTCTTTCACTATTATATATATATATATATTTATAGACTAGTTTACTTCTCGTCTTCCTGCGGCGGCGCCGGCTCCGGCTGCAGCTCTTCGATTTCCTCCTCGCTCTCGTTTCCCGTCTGATCGCTCGGATCTAGCGCGAATCTCCTCCACGGTAACCTCTTCCTCTGCTGATTGCACTGACTTATCCATGTCTTCATCACGATCTTCCCTTTACCCTTGACTTGATTAAACTTGGGCGTGTTCGCGAAAGCGCATCTGCAAAAATTAAATTTCATCCATTTAACAAATTAAAAAAATTGGATGTTTCCACTTACATTAGATGTGTGGAGGAATTCCGCCAATCCGCACTGTATTTGGCGCCCATCGAAAGGGCGGCCGACCTCAACTGCGCCCTTTCAGGGTTCTGGATTCCACTTATTACAATTTCGACACCCTCCAACAATCTGTTGAAAGGTTTCGCCAGTTTCGATCTCTTCTGCTTGAAACTGCCGGCATCGTCCAGTTTCCTTTTGGGCGTCTTCACCTTAACTTTCTCCTCCTCTTTCCGCTTCTTTGGTTTCTCTTTAGCATCGATCGATTGCTTCGCTTTCTGCTCGTTCTCTTTGTTCTTCAGCTCCATGATTCTGTCGATTTTCTTGTTCGGTTCGTAATCCTCGTCGTCGTACAGCACTTCGTTTCTGTTCTTATGCCTCGGACTATCGTCGACGTCGCCCCACGGCGTGTGCTTTCTTTTTATCAAAGGCGTTTTCTTCACAGCGGAGATCTGAGTTGTGGTGGAGGAGGACGACGAAGAAGCACGAATTGCCACCGCGGCCGATACCTTTTTATCGCCAGTGTCCTTCTCCGAAATAAATAAGTTACCGATCTCCGGCGACAATTCCCTCACAACTAAGCGACTACTCTGCACAGCCTTCGGCGCAGCCTGCTGCGATCCGTGCAACGTTATAAACGATATTCCAAATTTGATGGAATTGTTAAAGTGCTGATTGCAGATCACCTTCACCAGATCCCATTTCTCCTCGCATTCGGGCTTCTTCAGATCGTCCACCTTGAACATCCTCACCTTGTGCACACCGACATTCTGCCTGCTTTCCAGAATCGTCATGAACAGGGAGGCCGGGATCAGGCTCTGAAATACATTCGGGTTTGATGATCTGCCCACCTCGACACTCACATAGGCCGAATGATTGTTTCCTATATCCACATTAGTAATGACAGTGGGCTCCTCCAGCTGCAGCACAACATTCGCAGTTCTTTCTCCGGGCTTCAAACATTGCCATTTCTTTGCAGACTTATGATCTAGTAAGTTAGCAGCACCATAATCCTAACAAACATACAAACAATGAAAATCCATATTCATAACAAAACGCAATCAAGTTCTCACCGGATCTTCGGAGCTGAAACTTATCACCTTCTCTATCTTGATTTTCGGCATCTTCCACCGACAATATAACCTCAAAAAGTAAATTTGAATTCGTAATTTGATGGATCGAGAAAATTTTCAAAATATTTTTTTTTTCATTAAAACATCTTCCTCTGTACCGGTACCTTTAGGGCTCCAGCGTTGTGCAATTCTATGCAATGCAATCTCGGGAAGACTTTAAAACTAATCAATAAACGATAAACTCACAGCGACATCTCTTTCAATAATTTTAAGTGTGGTGCAATAGAAGTTGCCTCTGTTGCAATTTGGAATTTTTTAAATTATTAATTTAGTTTAATTACTCAAGATTTATAAAAAAAAGTATATTAATACTGAATATTTAACAATTTTAATACAATATTTAATACAATAATTGAAGTAAAGATGGCGCACCAATACTAATATAAACTTGCTATGCATTTTTACTTACAGTTAAATTATATAGTTAAGAGTGTTCTCTGTTAGTATGTATAATGGATTACAAAGTGTTCCTTGTAGCTGCAGTGCATATGTTTCTATTGCAACATAATTATTGATGATTTATATTTGTAAAGTTTTCTTGCAAGTTTAGGTGTTTCTGAATAATATGCAGCAGTTCTTCAGTTTCCGCTTACCCAATTATTAATGATGGATAGACCCTTAGAGAGTGTATCATATTTTAGTACATAGATGCAGAAGAGTTGTACATACAAAATGCAGCGAAATACATACATTAACACAAACAAATTAGATTTCGAATAATTCATCTGCTTTAAATTTGTTTACAAATTATTGGTTTTACGTTCGCAATGCGGAAAAAATGTGTGTGGGGGAGAAAAAACTTTTTCTTTTTCGGGTTCGATTTGCCATTCAAATTTGTTTCCCCCCTTCAACCTGACTTTTCGTTAATTCCGGTTGCGTTCAATCCGCAGAAACAAAACAACAACAGAATAACAAAAAAAAATAGAGGGCGACGCAAACAAACGAAAATTGAAAAATGGGCGAGAGAGAAACTTTTGCGCGAGAGTAAAACTTTGCATATTTTTTTTTTTTTTTTTTGGGGAGTATAAGTTCCGTATTTGCCGACCATTGTCCTCATCGCTCGAAGAAGTAAACTAACTTTGAAAAGTAGACAACTTAATTAGAGCTACACAGAAATTGGATTTATAAAAGCTTGGATTGAATGGAAATGTGACAAATATTTCAATCGTTTTTGTTAGTATGAATAGTTTGGAATGTGATATTCTTTCATTTACAACTCAAATCTAATTAATTAAGATAATTTATAAGGAAAACTTTTAATAAATTATTGTTTTTTGTCATATTATGTTTACTAATTAATCCACAAGAGGGAGTGTTGACTTTATTAATTTTGTTTTGTTTAAACAATCAGTTGGCATCACCAATTGCGTTCGCGGAGTGGGATGATCAGTCGCCGTTTGTTCTTCAATGCGTCGGTCTGCCTTACGGTTTCATAAGTTTAAAATTTGTTGTGCAACTAGTTTAAATCCAGTGAATTGTGTTGTGTTTCGAGAAAAGCAACGTCGTAGATCACAATCCCATTAGATTCGGTCAATTAAAGGTTAGTAATTGATTTGATACTAAACAAACAAAAAATCGTATTGCATTGAAAGTTTCCCAATTTGTTCCCTAATCAATTGTGTAGCTTGTGTTAAAATGTGGATGTTCTATTATAACTCGTAATTGAGAAATTCGTTTTAATTAATTACAAATTTTGGAATATCTAAAATGGCGGACCGACGCTCCGCTCGCCACTTTCTTTTGTTTAATTGATACCAATGCATTTTTATTGCAAAAAAAAAATAGGTACTAGATCGTGGCGTCTCTGTGACGTAGTTGTGCGCGTCCCTTTCTTAAATCAACATCGTTCCAATTGGAATATGATGAAATTTCGGGCTTTCTTATTAATTTTCAGTGGAAATTGAAAATCCGCGGTTTCGAACTATAACCAGCGACAATCGTGAGCAATTTAAATGTTTTACAGTTTTTCATAAACTATACTCGATTTGTTCAGATAGATATTTTATAATTATCCATATCATTAGATGTGTTTGCTAATATGTAATGTAAAATCAGACTCGAAGGAATTATCAATGTTCTAAAATTAACTAATCGATTGGTTGTTAGTAAATGATTAATAAATTGTATGCATTGTTCAAGCTCAAAGGATGTATTAATATGAAGAATGTGTTCCAGTTCAAACTAATCGATTGGTTTATAAGTGATTTGAAATTCTATTCGAAGAACATCATTTGATGTACTCAATCAGTTGAGATTTCTTATATGACATTCTGATTCAATTAGCTATGATACATTAATTTATTCACATTAACTTAATTGGAAATTAATTGCAATTAGAAAATTGACATTTTATTAATAATTTATTGATTTTTGTCATATTGCGCTATTATATTTACTAATTAATCCGCAAGAGGGAGTGTAGACGTTATTAACAATTTTGAGTTTAAACAATTGCGTTTGCGTCGGTTCGCGGAGTGGGATGATCAGTCGCTGTTCATTCTTCAATGCGTCGGTGTGCCTTACGGTTTCATAAGTTTAAAATTTGTTGTGCAACTAGTTTAAATCCAGTGAATTATGTTGTGTTTCGAGAAAGGCAACGTCGTAGATCACAAATCCCATTAGATTCGGTCAATTAAAGGTTAGTAATTGATTTGATACTAAACAAAAAAACAATCGTATTGCATTGAAAGTTTCCCAATTTGTTCGCTAAGCAATTGTGTAGCTTGTGTTAAAATGTGGATGTTCTATTATAACTCGTAATTGAGAAATTCGTCTTAATTAATTACAAATTTTGGAATATCTAAAATGGCGGACCGACGCTCCCCTCGCCACTTTCTTTTGTTTAATTGATACCAATGCATTTTTATTGCAAAAAAAAAAAATAGGTACTAGATCGTGGCGTCTCTGTGACGTAGTTGTGCGCGTCCCTTTCTTAAATCAACATCGTTCCAATTGGAATATGATGAAATTTCGGGGCTTTCTTATTAATTTTCAGTTTAAATTGAAAATCCGCGGTTTCGAACTATAACCAGCGACAATCGTGAGAAATTTAAATGTTTTAAAGTTTTTCTTTGTAACTTCATAAACTATACTCGATTTGTTCAGATAGATCATTTATAATTATCCATATCATTAGATGTATTTGCTAATATGTAATGTAAAATCAGACTCGAAGGAATTATCAATGTTCTAAAATTAACTAATCGATTGGTTGTTAGTAAATGATTAATAAATTGTATGCATTGTTCAAGCTCGAAGGATGTATTAATATGAAGAATTTGTACCAGAGCAAACTAATCAATTGGTTTATAAGTTATTTGAAATTCTATTCGAAGAACATCATTTGATGTACTTAATCAGTTGAGATTTCTTATAGGACATTCTGATTCAAGCATGTATTAGGAATGATCTATTAATTTATTCACATTAACTTAATTGGAAATTAATTGCAATTAGAAAATTGACATTTTATTAATAATTTATTGATTATTGTCATATTGGCGCTATTATGTTTACTAATTAATACACAAGAGGGAGTGTAGACTTTATTAACAATTATGAGTTTAAACAATCAGATAGATATTTTATAATTATCCATATCATTAGATGTGTTTACTAATATGTGATGTGAATTAATGCAAAATCAGACTTAAAGGTATTATCAATGTTCCAATATGAATTAATCGATTGGTTGTGAGTAAATGACTAATAAATTGTATGCATTATTCAAGCTCGAAGGATGTATTAATATGAAGAATTTGTTCCAGTGCAAACTAATCGATTGGTTTATAAGTGATATGAAATTCTATTCGATGAACATCATTTGATGTTAACATTTCCTATTGGATGTTCTAATTGAAGTATATATCTATTACTTTACTCACATTAATTTAATTTTGAAATTAATTGCAATTAGAAAATTAACATTTTATTAATAATTTATTGTTTTTTTTGTCATATTGGCGCTATTGTTTTTTAATTGACGATATCAAAGATTTTCGATTAAAACTTGAGTTGGTATCACAGTCAGCGCCTGCGTCGATGCGCGGATTGCGACGCTCAGTTGTGCGCGTCCCTTTCTTATGTCAACATCATTCCAATTAGATGTGCACATTAATTAATGAAATTTCGGTGCTTTCTCATTAATTTTAAGTTGAAATTTTATAATCGTGGTTCCAAACCGTAACCAGTGACGACGATGCTGATTAATGGTGAGCAATTCAAAACTTTATTTCTTCCCCTGTTTTTTTTACAGCTTCAATACTTTTTATTATTTATTTGCTATTTATATGGATGCAAGGTATTGAAAATACCAGGTCATTCTATGCGTTTTGCATTGATTGTTGCTTAATATGCTCGGTAATCAATTGTGTAGATTGTATCGAGATGTGCATTTCCTATAGTGATTTGTAATTAGAACAATTCAGGTTAATTAATTTAGAAATTGCGATTGCACAATATGGCGCAATATTGTTCGCGCCTAAACATCACGTACTACCAATGCTTTTCTTATCGCAAAAAAAAAACTGCATGAAATCTGATACAGATTGGTACGACGATCGCGGCGTCCCCTACGCCGCAGTTGTGCGCGTCTCTTTCTTAAGTCAACATCACACCGATTCATCACACCTTCATTGATTTTCAACAATTTCATGAGCAACGACGATGGCGTTTCTTAACTGTAAGTGCATGTTTGTATAAAACTTGCTTTCAGCATTGTTACTAATATATGGATGCAAGGTATTGTGAATACCAGGTCATTCTATGCGTTTATCACGTTCGCAGTGATTCGCATGGAATGACAAGACCGTCTGTGCTAAAACCTTCTCGAGGTGCATCCGTTAAGGTCGTTGCTCGTATCCGTAATATGCGAGCAATCACCGACAGATCACAGCGGATCTAGGGGCTCGCGTTTTCCCCGAAATATCATTTCTTTGCATCGCGACAGGTGTCGTTAAGAAAAGTCTTGGCCATTAGCCGATTCTTAGTCTTACATTCTGATTTACAGTGTTTGTTCGTTATTTTGAAAACAAGTTTAAGGCTTCGGCTTTTGTTCTTCAACCGTGAGTGTGCAGTTAATTAAATTAATATTAGAATCACGGAAGTGTTAAAGTTCCGGGAGTTTTGTGCGCATTTTTGATAAATTGTCGTGAGTATTCGTGAGTGCCAATCAACAATGAGGGCTG